CCGCGCCCTAGCCGCCCGAGGGAAGTCCAATTTCCCTCCCTCCTTCTTTTCTTTTCTTTTCTTTTTCAAAAAGGATTTAAATAAATCCTTTTCCTTTAGACCAAAAAATTCTAATAATCTTAGAAATTCAATATCTTCCCAACCGTAAGTCCGTTTGACTCCGTTCAACTTCCAAAATTCCTCAAATCTCGAGATCTATCTAATAGCACGCTTAGAGGTCAATAATAGGGCTTTATTTTCGCCGTTTGCTGAGTTGTCCCGTTTCGCGTGTAGTTTCAGAGCCCGAAGACCCGCAGTGCGAGGATTTTGATGATCAAGCTCAAGATCTCGAGCAAGGCAAGCCACCTTTGAACATCTTGAGCCTATATTTGAACTAAGTTATATTTCTTACAAAATATTATGCATTGCTAGGATTGCACTTAATATGTTTGCCCTATCAACGAGGCAGATCGGTGAGCATACCTAATTTGTTGCATTTGATCCTTCCTTTGTTAATTGCTATACCATGTTCCCTTGTACCCACCTAGTTGCGCCTCGGTAATCGTGCACTCTGCACGGGTATCGACGGTCGCCTTCAAACTTAAAATCTGAGAAACATCTTGGGTAAAACTTGGGTTTTACAAAAGACTTGGAAAACCCGACACCTGGGTCGGTGCTTGCGAACTAAATGAATTTCCAAAACCGCGGACCGGGGAACGTACCGGGTGTACGGTTTCCCGCTCTTGCACTTAAGGACCGTTTCCTTGGAATTTCATCGGAACATAAGACAAGTACGACTACATGGGTGGAATGGGACACCCCTGGCTGAGTAACTAGCTTATCAGGGGAGCCATGATGCTAAGAGATATGTGGATTCGCCAGGGTGGTGTCGGGGAGGACCCCTGGGCTTCCTGGCACAGTATGGTCTGGGACCTAATCTGGTGTTGGTCTGGGACCCCTCTCGTTGGCATATGGTGAACCTGTATCGGCTCTCGAAATGCCTTGTCATGAAAGCCTTAAGGTCTCTAGTCATGGCCGTTCTGCACGGGCTGGATGATCCGGGTTAGTAATGTCGTGTGGGTAAAGTGTACCCCCTCTGCAGAGGTTATTAAAACTGTTCGAACAGCCGTGCCCACGGTCATGGGCGGATGTGAGGTGATTCCTAGTGTAGTTTTGTTTACTGCCGTGTGAAATTACTGTTGTGGAATGGGTTTGATGTTTGGAAAATCTGCGGCTGATGGGATCAGCCAGGCCCGGGTGGCCGTTTGAAAGCTGTTGGCCGGGTACCAATCTTGATCAATTCAAAAAACTGATACATTGCACATACTCCGACCAGACGAGACGCACTGTCTCATCCGTGTCGTTTGAGAAGCACTCACTTAGTTGTTTCAGAAAAGAGTTCAAATAAAATCAATTGCAAAAACAACAGCCTTTCCTTGAAGCCGGCATTAAACACTTATTTCCCATGGCTTGCTGAGTACTCCTGTACTCACCCTTGCTCTATATAAATTTTTCCCCCCCAGGTGCTGAAGAAGATGAAGCGGATCCCGCTGACAAGGAGTTCTTCCAGGAGCAAGCCGGCTACGATGAGTTCTAGGGTTTCGGCCTAGTTCCCAAGTCGCGCCTGTGATGTTTGGTCCAAGTCTTGGCTTCCGCTTCCCTTTTGTAATGCAGTTGTGAGCTCGGGATCTGTCCGCAGCCCAACATGACTGTACTCCTACTCTATAATAAAGAGACCTCTGTTGCTGTGATATTCTGTCTTCCTGTGATACCAGCACTATTTCCTAGGACTGGTATCGATTAACAGGTTAATTTGGAGCGTCACGGGCTAGTTCCGGTCGGGACTAGTTCGGGGCGTGACATGTCCTCCCTCCTGTTTTTCCCGCAGGAAATTAGGATGATCGCCCTATATATGTTGATTCAATGGTCATTACTCGTGCACTACTCGCCAAAAAAATAGAGATCAACTAGCTTATCTAGATAGCAGAGACTGGGAGAGAAGAAATGTCGTGCGCGCTGGTTGTTGGGCGGGACACTACGACAGCGCGCGGCATGCACGCGGTGCATGCAGAATTTATTTAAATTTTGAATATTTCTGAGTTTATGAGAAATGTCCATATTTACTTATATTTTGCATGAAACTTATTCTCTAGCATCTTAAACATTAAAAGCATACATCTAACTTCTGAACTTTTTAATATCATTCACATACGTAACCTATAAAGTGTTTTTTTATTAAAAAATACTTATATTTTTGCGGGAACGCATCCTATGTACCTAATCTTTCTGTGCACACCAACTAACAAATCTCTACTACTTAAAAAATCCGTAATGGTGGTCTTGATTCCTGGCACAGCAGACGCATCTGATAGACATGCGTAATCTCGATCATCCGATTGCCACGTCCAACGACCGATCTCCTCCCCACGCTCGCTCCTTTCTCGGATCGATCTCCTCCCCACGCCCCCTCCTGCACCCTCCTCCCTGCGTCGCCTCCTCACCCCGCCGTCACGTCGCCTCCTCACCTCGCCCCAGCCGGCGACGCTGCCGCTGCCGCTGCCCACCCGCAACCACCGCCAACGCCGCTGCCAACCCCCTCCCCAAACCCTAATCTCTTCCTCTCCTCCCCTCACGCGCCGCCGCGGATGCTCTTGCCGTAGTGTTGTCTCGCCATCGTGTCGCCCGAGCAGGGTGGAGTGGGCGAGGCGCCTCCTGCCTTGCTTTCTTTTAATCGGGTGTTCAATTTTTTTTCCTCACAGGAGCAGGATCGAGAACGAGAAGACAAGTTTCGATTCGTTTGTTCTCGAGGTGTGTGTTTGTCACCCAAACCCTAGATTACATCTTCTCTCCCTTTTAGTTTCAATCTATGTTCTTGCAATAGCTTTGGTTTTGTTACGCTTGAACGATCTGTGCCTTGTTGATTTCTGTGAGACCGATGCTAAAGTCACTTGAAGCAAATAGAGTAACTGATTTTCCCCGTAGGAGATTGAGGCTGTTATTTCCAAATCTTAGGTTCGGCTGTAAATACTGAACTACTGATGCGATTTTCCATTGGATGAAATTGAATGTACCCTGATTTCTGAGATGCTGGGCTGCACAGCTCACTATCGATGTTGAGCATTTCTTCGTAGTGATACTGACGTTGCAATCAAGTAGAAATAACCTGTTAACTAATGCTTGCCTTAGCTCTGCCTCCCTTAATTATTCTTAATTATTTGTACTAGACATTTATCTGAACCAAATTTAAATAGCAAATCTGAGTAGGTTTCTTTGTTATCTAGACATACTCATGGTTCATATTGCTTTCTATCTTTGTTTCAGTTTTGCTGCTTATATTATACATTCAAGTTTTTATGCTTTTGCTTGGCAGATGAGGGACAATGCGTTGACCTGAAATTTTACGCACTCCGACCTCCTCCATCGGCTGCGCTGCCGCTCAACCTATGCCACCGCCGGATCGACGGGAGCTGTCAGCTGCTCCACCTGCGCCGTCATAGGGAGCCACACGAACAACCTCCTCCATTGGCTGCGCCGCCGCTCCACCTGCGCCACCGATGGATCGACGGGAGCCACCCGCTGCCCCCCTCCCCTGCACCTCCACCTGGTATGGTGTCCAACCTAACTTAAAGCTGATGGACATTGTTTGGTTTCACCGTCTAATAGTGCTAAATCCTCCCTATATATCTGAATAGTTCATCTGTCTCTTACGGAAAAAAAATGCATGCTTTCTTGCGTCTCTATCTATAGTTCTATCCAGTAGAGGTAATTTGAACTGATGGAGAATACATTTCATATGTGGATGTTTGTCAGTACATTTGATGCCATCGTTATAAAATCTGTCTTTTTCTGCTACAGCATCCACTCCTTGGATATGTCTGAGTGTTTCCATGTGCACTGTTTTTTTAATCTCATTTCAGTTTACAATTGATTATTTTGGTTCCTCTGAATTGTCTAGGGATAAATTGATTGAGCAGCTTCAAAGTAGGCGCCTTCCTCCGCATCTCCGCTCCGCTCTCTCCCCTTCGACCACCTCCACCACCGTCGCACACCGTATCGCCTCTCCACTCTCTCCCCGGCAACTGCGAATCGATCCCGGCTGGAGGCGACTTGGTTGGCGACTAGACTCATCCCTCATGCCATCTACCTCTCCAATATAATATAGTCCTAGGTAAGTTCTGCTGAATGCATATGCTGCCATGTTTTATCTTCAAAATAACAATTAATATATGTTGATGCATCACGTAAAGTTGAAAATCATCCTAATAGAATTATATGAGAAATTACCTGAATGACAACTCAGAGGGTAAGGCTGTATTCTTTACATGATGTCGCATGCACTATATTTGACACAGTAGATCAACAACAATTAAACTATATTGTATCAAAATGACAAAGGAAGATGGTTAGTCCAACTATAATCCATCCTCACTTAAAAGATTAACCTTTTCTGAATAGTGCTTTCAATAATATCCAAGGTTAGTAATGAACTCTTTTCAGCTGACAGTATGCATACTTGGTTGCTTCTAGAAGTAATAATTTATATATAGTTTTGTTCCTATAACTGTTTAGGATCAACTAATTTTGTTCCACCACTGATTTGATCTCATTGGTTCATTGTTTCCAATTCCATAAGGCACATGTTAGGTGGTTATTGACAGCCACAACACTAGATATAGTGTGTTTTAATGCTGCAATCTAAATTAATATGTTCATATCATTTTGTATATCCTCAGTTCTCTATTGCCTCTCTCAGACGGAATAGGATGAATTTCATCCTATTTCATAATCTATATACAAGAACAAGATGAGCAAGCAGCTAATCATTTTGTTAAAGAGATGCAGAGATTCTTTATTTTTTGTGTGGATATGAATTGAATGAGGGTAATATTAATATCTTATTGATGTTCCCAAAAATGTAGTGCACAATTGTTGTACAAATGAATACATTTTTTGATATAAGGCGGCATGGTGTGGAGGCATAGGTCAACATGAGAACAATAGTCTGCCCACTATATGTTCATTATAGTGTTTTGCTTTGATAAGAGATTTTGACCATGCTGACCATTTATTGCTTTTTACAGGCATCTGATTTCTCGGTAATCAAGTATGGAGGTGAGGAACTTTAACGAGAAGCTGGTTGAATAAAATTTCTACCTTATTACTGAGGTACATTTCCATACATTGCTATGTCGATCGTTATTAGTGAAGGGGGTGCTACAAGCACTTTGTTTTCTTCTTTGTGATGAATTTGATATTGTTCTCCAATACTTAGGTAAACAAGGGCGTGTACTTGTGCTTCTTCTGAAACTTAATGAATGGCTGCCTCCACTGCTTGAGGTAAAAAAACTCTTAGTTGTTGCTTTATAAAATAAAATCTATGTTGCCATCAATTCTTGCTATCACGGTGAAAGGGCCGGCTATCAAGAACAACACTTACATAGATGTACTATACTCAAGATCCTTTTGTGATTGTTTGAAAATTATATTCATGGTTATTATTTGACTTGATTCTTATTTTCATGGTTTTAAACACATGCACTAAAATCAGCTTGGAGTAATGGGATATAAGCAGGAGTTTATGTATCCAAAATATTTAATCAGACTGTGGGATATGCTGTAAATTTGAGCTGGTCTACCTCTGTTCATGGGTTAAAAGTCATGGATGCTGGTGTTAGCCCAGATGAAATAGCATCATTGTGCTCTACTGTATCGGGATTTTCCCTTGAATCCTGGATTTGCTATTTTGTTTTGCTTCCCTCAAACAATTGTGTCCGATGTTATAATCTGATATATCATGATATATCATAGTTTATCACGTGATACACAGGTACAGTATAAGCTGCAGTGCCAGATTTGGACATCTTCAGTTGTGGGACTTGATAAAGCTTGGAGATCATCTCGGTGAACGGGAGGATGTTGATCCATGCAGTTGTATGTTCACCTGTGTTCTGTTATACAACTAATATGCAGTGATAGATGCACTGTAGTATATCATCGTCAGATCTTACTTCAAAGAGGATGGGAGCTATCTGTGCAGATAGGTTGACAAAAAATTGCATGCCCATGTTCAGATTTCAGAATCAATACATGTGCAAGTTTAAGACTATTAAAGTTCAGAACATTTTATGCATGACATCACACATTACTAGCTTAATTTATCTCAAAACGCAGGCCTGCACAAGCCCAAGTTTTAGATCCAAACCATAAAACTGCAAAATTTTGTTTGCCATACAATCTGACTATATTCTAATTGCATACTTTCTATAATTCGCTCCCCAAAGGCAATCTATTATTAATCATTAAATCCATTGTATATGCTTTGCAATTTAGATTGTACAATTCATAGTGTTATAGTTGATTGACATCATTTGAATGTTTTGAGAGTAACTATTATTGTAATCATACATTTACAGAACAATAATGCACAAGTTTATTATGTTTTCACGTTATTTAAGACCCGTTGCAACGCACGGGCATCATACTAGTATCATAGAAAATTCTATAAAAAATTTGGACACATACTTTCAATAACATTACACTTACGTGTGAAATCTTATTTTCAAATTCATTATATTTTAGCCGTAACAAAAAAAAAAGACATAATTTTGACATATTTTTACCCTTAAAACTGTCAGATTTTTTACTTTTTTGTCACGGCTAAAATATAATGAATTTGAATATGAGAATTTACAGATATGTGTAATACTATTAGGAGCAAATGTCTAGTTTTTTTAGAATTTTTCGCGGTATTTGTTAGTTGGTGTGCACGTAAAGTTTGTGTGCATAAAAATAATTTTCTATTTTTTCATGATTTTGATATATGAAAACCAACCTAGGTGCCGGCGTCGCCATCCTACCAGGGCGGAGCTCGGCTCGGCTTCCGCCACCGGCGGCAGTGGTGGTGGGCTGGACGGTGCTGTTGCAGAATAATGGATGATTTTCTTGTGATGGAGTTGTAGATCTATGGTTTGTAGGTTTTTTTTAAGATGTTTTTGTGAATTTGTGGATGATTTTGTTGTTGAGTATGATTTGGTGAATTTGTGGATATCAATACGATATGGGGATTTGGGGATGTTGGGAGCAACTGGCATGGTTCGAAATCAATATGCAAGTAGAAAAAAACAATAAAAAAAGAAAAAAAACATTTATCCCGGTTAATAACAGCAACCAGGACTAAAGGCATTTTTAGTCACGGATTAGAGGAAGGGTTACAAACCAGGACTGAAGACCACTTCTCCACCAGTGACGTAATTACATAATTACATTTCAATTATACTATGGTTAGATCTGAAAATTTTTCACTCAAAAAACTTATGGTAGATTTTTTAAAGATGCTCTCCTAGTATAAACATCTCCTCCAAACATGCACATAAATATTTCCTTGAAAGTTATTCAGGTTTGGTATTTGATAACCGTCCGTATCACTTCATTTTCCTTATCAGTGCAAAGCCAGAAAATCTATTAAATACATAGGAGGAACAGTCCAAATAGATAAAAATAAAAGAGTGTAATTTTGTGTGATGAGCGTCCTTCCATCGTGCTAACATAGTTGACTTCGAGAAATTTGTATATAGTTTCTCAACAAAAAGAAAATTTTGTCCTCTTGTGCCATCGCAAAAAAAGCAGTTCGGTATAATCTCTCGCTGGAATAAGTTTTTTAAAAAGGTCATTTTCAACTGTCATCCTCGATCATTTTGTCTTGTACTGCTTCTTCTTTGCATCATGCAAGTAGGGGTGAAAACGGGTCAGGTTCAGTTGGATTTCACAATTCTCATATGCTAACCCATATTTTAAAATCGAAATCGGTCGAACACGCATAGCGCCGAACACGGATATAAACTCAGATAATATCGGACAAAAATATGAAACGAATACGTACCAAAATAGATATGAACACTATCGGTTACGAATATTTATTCGGATATCAAGTCGAAGCAACAATTTTATATATCACATAGTCAATAACCATTTAACAATTCCATATATCCATAATACGATTATATTAGGCTATTAGGACCTTAAGAAATAAATAGGGTACAATACATCATAGTAGAACCAATCCATAGTACCAAAAAGTGCCTCACAAAAACATAATACGGGTAATATCCGTATAATTATCCAGGCATACCCGGATTTTTTTATCGGATACTACGTTTCCGAACCCGATCTCATATCCGCCAAAAAAGACCCGATATCCGTGAAAAGTCCCGGGTACCTGACTTTATCCCGAAATTATGTGGCCAGATGGGCGGGCGGGAAATACCCACCCCGTTTTCACACCTACATGCAAGTATATATGAGAATCCGTGTTCACATTTGACCGTCGATCTTATTCGAAAAATTTATAAAAGTTGTCCTTGTGCTGCTTCTTCTTTGCATCATGCAAGTATATATACCGACTCTGTTCCAAAATAAATGCAGCCGTGAGAATCCGTATCCAACGTTTAACCGTTCATCTTATTTAAAAAATTATAAAAGAATTTAAAAATAGTCACACGTAAAGCATTATTTATGTTTTATCATCTAATAACAATATAAATACTAATCACAATTTTTTTTAAAATAAAACAAACGATCGAACATTAGATATAACCAGTGTAAAATTGTATTTATTTTAGAACAGATGGAGAAGTTGGAAGTCAGGAATAGTGTGAAACGTAAGGTCACGTGTAGAGAAACTTTGATCTTTTTTTTTCTTTTTACGAAAACGACATGTATCTTTGACGTTTTGACGAGAAATGGAAATAAACGCCATGCAGTAAGGGTATATTCTAAACTTCGGCTAAGTTTAGTTACAAACTATTTCTTTAAACTTCCAATTTTTCCATCACATCAAAACTTTTCTACACATAAACTTTCAACTTTTTCATCACATCGTTCCAATTTCAACTAAACTTTTAATTTTAACGTTAACTAAACCCACCCTTCAACTCGATCTATAAATACATGCTGCGGGCGCAGCGACAAGATCACCAGGTAGAACCAGAGAAAAAGAACATTAACGATAAGTAAAGTAATGGAGAATAGCCAGGTGTGGCTGCTATGGGGAGCTCTCTCCGTCGCTGTCCTCTTCTACCTCTCCACCCTGCGACGACGCTACGCCGGCGGCAAACCCCTCCCCCCGGGCCCGACGCCACTGCCGCTCATCGGCAACCTCCACCTGGCCGGCGGCACGTTCCACCACAAGCTCAGGGACCTGGCGCGCGTCCACGGCCCCGTGATGACGCTCAAGCTCGGCCTCGCCACCAACGTGGTCATCTCCTCCCGGGAGGCCGCCATCGAGGCGTACACCAAGTACGACCGCCACCTCGCCGCGCGCGCCACTCCGGACACCTTCCGCGCGTGCGGCTTCGCCGACCGCTCCATGGTGTTCATCCCGAGCTCCGACCCGCAGTGGAAGGCCCTGCGCGGGATCCAGGGCTCCCACGTCTTCACCCCGCGTGGCCTTGCCGCCGTGCGCCCCATCCGTGAGCGGAAGGTGGGCGACCTCATCGCCTACCTCCGCGCGCACGCCGGCGAGGAGGTGCTCCTCGGCCAGGCCATGTACACTGGCCTCCTCAACCTCGTGTCCTTCTCCTACTTCTCCATCGACATCGTCGACATGGGCTCGCAGATGGCCCGCGACCTGCGGGAGGTGGTGGACGACATCATCTCGGTGGTCGGGAAGCCCAACATCTCCGACTTCTACCCGTTCCTCCGGCCGCTGGACCTGCAGGGCCTGCGCCGCTGGACGACGAAGCGGTTCAACAGGGTGTTCTCCATCATGGGCGACATCATCGACCGCCGCCTGGCTCACATCCGCGACGGCAAGCCGAGGCACGACGACTTCCTCGACTCGCTCCTCGAGCTCATGGCCACCGGCAAGATGGAGCGTGTCAACGTGGTGAACATGCTGTTCGAGGCCTTCGTCGCCGGCGTGGACACCATGGCCCTCACCCTGGAGTGGGTGATGGCCGAGCTGCTCCACAACCCGGCCATCATGGCGAGGGTGCGCGCGGAGCTGAGCGACGTGCTCGGCGGGAAGGAGGCCGTGGAGGAGGCCGACGCGGCGAGGCTGCCCTACCTCCAGGCCGTGCTGAAGGAGGCCATGAGGCTGCACCCGGTGGGCGCGCTGCTGCTGCCGCACTTCGCCGCGGAGGACGGCGTGGAGATCGGCGGCTACGCGGTGCCGAGGGGCTCCACGGTGCTCTTCAACGCGTGGGCGATCATGCGCGACCCGGCGGCGTGGGAGAGGCCCGACGAGTTCGTGCCGGAGCGCTTCCTGGGGAGGTCACCCCCGCTGGACTTCAGGGGGAAGGACGTGGAGTTCATGCCGTTCGGGTCCGGGAGGCGGCTGTGCCCCGGGCTGCCGCTGGCGGAGCGCGTCGTG